TCCTGCGCTTGATTCCTGCACCACACCCACCTTCAGCACCCCTGACACCTCTCTCATCTTTTTAAGTGGGAGAACTTGCACAATTGGTGGCTGACTAAATACGTTTTTTCCCCCACTGTATAGCCTCCCTTCTGTTATTTTAATTTACTTCTGCTCTTATCGTTGATAAGCATACATTTCATTATATTCCTATCATTTGAACTATGTACTGTCTCTCACCCCTTCCCCGCTCCTTCCTATACAACAGGGGAGGCGCGGAGACCTGCCCTAATCATCTTCCTTCTTAGGAAATCATGTCATTAGTACTTGTAACATATTTTCATAGACCTTTCTAGAATACTTCTACTTAAGCTATCTAATTCAACCTTTCACATTTCTCAATCCACGTAGTAATCTAGGTCCATAGCCCCAATGCGAAAGCTTTACCCACTGTCTCTACCTGGGTTCGAACCAGGGACCCTCTACATACATTGCCAGTCACTCCACAAAATCCGAGATCCTTTCAAAGCAACTACTTCCAGTTCATAGAGCAAGTGACGTCACCAAATGAAAACCGCACTAGCTCTCACCTCATTCAGCAACACAAAAACTCCCTCTCCCTGCACCTATTCCTGTTGAATAAGTGAGTCTTTCTATTTAACCCAAACCACGCTGCAAATCTTCCATTCAACATCACCAAACCAAATACTCAATAGTATCCGGTTACCACCCATACCAGCCGTTGAATTCACTGATACATACAGATTTCACCTTATGCCACTGAAATGCCCAATAAACCATAATAGTTCAATGGAACCCTCTATTGGCTCTCCACTATATTATACATTACTTCTATAACCACATTAGTTATGGTCTGATTACCCATTAAACCTTATCACATAATCAAACAACGGCACAACCTTAAACTCATATGGGGTGGCAGGTAGCTTAGTGACTAAGAGCGCTGTGCCAGCAACCGAGAGGTTGCCGGTTCCAATCCCCGAGCCGACCAGGTGAAAAATCTGTCGATGTGCCCTTGGGCAAGGCACCTAACCCCAATTGCTCCTGTAAGTCGCTCTGGACAAGAGCGTCTGCTAAATGACTAAAAATGTAAATGTAAATATTCTCTACTTTCTCACCCATGATGTACGTTTGGGTGAGAAACTTCATACGTATATATCATTAGAAATGTATAGGTACCTCTCAAATAATCGCTTCGTGGTGTTTTTAGCCAATTCTTAATCGACACAAATCACTTCTTCAAACATTTTACCCTAGAACCAAAAAATAGACTGTCATTTCCCGGACACTGCCCTTTCCTTTAGCTCTGCAGTCGCAGTCGCGATGGTTAAGACCTGCTTTGTTACAGTATTTACACGGGGCCTCACACTCTCTGGCAAAATGACCCTCCTTGTTACAGTTAAAGCACTTCCTCTTATCTCCTCCCCTATTCTGCCTCCCTGATTTATTATAGCTCTCTAATCTCTTCAACTCTCTGTGTTGCTCTTCAGTCTCCCGAGTGGCACAGTGGTCTAAGGCACTGCATCGCAGTGCTAGCTGTGCCACTAGAGATCCTGGTTCGAATCCAGGCTCTGTTGTAGCTGGCCGCGACCGGGAGACCCATGGGGCAGCGCGCAATTGGCCCAGGGTAGGGGAGGGAATGGCCGGCTGGGATGTAGCTCAGTTGATAGAGCATGGCATTTGCAATGCCAGGGTTGTGGGTTTGATTCCCACAGGGTGTATGAAAAAAAAAATATATTGTATGCACTAACTGTAAGTTGCTCTGGATAAGAGCGTCTGCTAAATGACTAAAATGTAAATTTTTAAATTCTGTAGCCCTTCTCAACTCTTTCTCTCTATCCAGTTCTTCTCTTAGCCTGCCTATTTCCTCTCTACTCTCCCTGAGTTCTGTAAGTTCTTTCTGTAAAACTTCCCCCTCTTTCTTCTCTTTACTGGCCTCCCTATTCTGCCCCCCTTCTTCCCCCTCTTCCAACATTCCGGCTTGGCCGTCATATGGTGGGGGAGGGGCGGGGACCAGTCCTAATTTTCTCCTACACATGACAACGTTATCATCTGGGCTTTCTTTCCAAGCCTGCTCTGCTAAAACTCGATATAACCTTTCTGCCCTCTGCTCTGGGGGAGGCACTGAAACCTCAACTTTTACTTTATTTTCTCTCTGCATAACTATTTTTTTCCTTTTCTGTCCTTCCTCTCTCTTTCGAGCCTCCAAAACCTTTAGAATATTTATTTTCCCATGGTAGGAACAGAAGAAGTCCAATCCCCCCCCCGTTTAGTAATAATCCAATCAATAATTATTTTCCTTGGGACTTATTATTAGGTGTGACTTTTGAGTAAATGTTATGATCTGCTTTTGTAATCACCATTTAAATTATTCAACCCGTAACCCAGAGTTTTTAAAAAAAAAATTTTTCTCACGCTACCCTATTTTAGTCCTTTCCTTGAAACAATTATCACGTATTTCGATGGATCATTAGGTCTCACACGTATACAACCTTATACGATTTTTTGCTAACACTATCCGTAACCCAGAGGTCGTAACTGCTCTAGTTTTATGAAATAGACAGAGTTAGAGCAAATCCCCAGTTGTTTATGACTCTTGACTTGTTTAATGTATCTATCTCACACGATGATAATTATCTCCCGTCCTGTTTATATTGTAAAGACTGTATCTTGTACAATCTCAATATTAACTAGTTTATTTTGGTATAGGTCTATTACCTAGAGTCATTTTCGGACCCCCCTTCGTTCCTTTATACCCTTATGAGATTTTGGTAACTATTCTCTGCCCTTCACAAGAATTACTATTCTTATACAAGTCCAAATCATTTCACCAAAACCCATGAATAAAAATTACTGACCTCATCCTTGCAGTTGGGATTTAAATGCTTTTTCAGATCTCGTCAACGTCTTTATCGTTCATAAGGTTCATCACCGGCCTGTTTATAATCTTAACGTCAAAGGCCAGGTCTATTCTATACGGATGCTATCATCCGCCTGTGCACGGTTTTCGGTGTCCTCAGAACGATAAAGAGGTATTTTGAGCTCCGCTCGAAGGACCATTTGTCACGAGAATTTATATCTCTAATTAATCAAACTTAATGCTCTGAATAATTCCCAGAGGGTGTAAGGCTCTGGTTTAATCATGAATTAAACAAAGGTCCACAACCGGCAAGAATGATCTGTATGTTTAATCATGGAGAGCTCTGCCGCCAAAAAACACATATACAGGTTTTATACCCCTTGACACACAAAGGCACTTTGCTCCGCCCACCTTTAGGAGGCCTTTAACCAGTTTCTCAGTCCCCTTCACCCTGGAATGTTTGTCTCAGCAGTTTCTAACTCACCCCCTCTGTTAGTGGGTTTATAATGATAACCCTAACACAGTTCACACAGTCATCATCAGTATTGGGGTTAACAATTTTAGTCATAATCATAATTCCTCTATCAACAACCCTGGACGCTGTTGAACGAGTTAAGAGATTGAATGGTAAGATGTTGGCTGAAGAAATAGTGAGCATTGAACCGTTCAAATCATGCAAACAGCGAGAGGCTGAATTTGGATCCAGGGCCAAGGAGTTTGGCATCAACAGCGAGACATAGTTGACATGGTGAGTGTTTGGCAGATGTGTCTTGTGTAGCCTACTGTGGTATATTCTCTTGTGTTTATTGTCTGTTTAGTTGGCCTTTTTATTGAGTTGAGGATGATTCTGTCATTTTCAGGTACAGAGAGTGTCATTGTTGATCACAGCATGAAATCCAGAGGATTCAGATTCCTCAGTTTCAAAAGGCATGAGGATGCACAGAAGGTGAGAGATGCCATCCAATATTGTCACTGTCTAGATGTGGTATAGAGCTCAGTGTCTGGGAGTCCAGTGTCTCATTGGAGTGTATCTGACTTCTTTAGGCTGTGGATCAGATGAATGGGATGGAGGTGAACGGGAGGTGGATCTATGTGGGCCGCGCCCAGAAGAAAAGCTCTCACAGTCTCATGTCAGAATTAGACGTTCATTCATGTTTCTCAAACGTAACATTTCAAAGTTGTTCCAAACTTCATATTTCAAAGTGTTTAAGGTTAAGTTTAGGCATTAACTCCAAATTGTTAAGGTTAAGCATTAACTGTGAATGGTTAGGGTAAGGGCTAAGGTTTGAGATGGGCTTAAAACAAAAATCTAAAAGGTGGCCAGTTTCTACATAATCTCCTGACGTCCTCAGACATGGATGGACGTCTAATCCTGATTTGTACCACCGGTGACCTGGCTGGAAATGCGAGTGCCAGACGGTGGTAAAATACAGGATTGAGCAGAGGAAGAAGGTCGCATTATCGGAGTCAACCTGTACGTGAAGAATCTGGATGATAGCTGGGACGGTCATCATCTCCAGAAAGAGTGTTGCTGCAGTGGTCTAAGGCACTGCATCGCAGTGCTAGCTGTGCCACTAGAGATCCTGGTTCGAATCCAGGCTCTGTCGTAGCCGGCCGTGACCGGGAGACCCATGAGACAGCGCACAATTGGCCCAGCATCGTCCAGGGTAGGGGAGGGAATGGCCGGCAGGGATGTAGCTCAGTTGGTAGAGCATGGTGTTTGCAACGCCAGGGTTGTGGGTTTGATTCCCACAGGGGGCCAGTTTGAAAAAAAAAATAATAATGTATGGACTCAGTAACTGTAAGTCGCTCTGGATAAGAGCGTCTGCTAAATGACTAAAATGTAAAATGTAAAGCGTCATGGCTGTCCCCAACCCAATCATCATCAACCCCAACCAGCCATTATGGTCCAAAATATTCCTGTCATGCATTCATGCACCATGAGTGCCTCACCCTCCCATCAGATGAGGGAGTATATCTGATGATGCAGCATATATGTAAATGATGGAGTCATTTTTGCTACTGCTCCCATACCATTTACCTTGAATGTCTTTAGTTGGAAGAATGCTGGCTAATGTCATCATCACATCTTCGATCATGAATAACTTCTCCCCAGCTACCCAGGCAGCCATAGTGAGCAATGCCTCAGAAAACCTCTCAGCAGGAAATGAATGCCCTGTTTCAGGTCCACATGCAACAGCTTGCTGTCTGTATCCAGGAGCCTCTGACTGCTTCCATGCTGTCAACCTCGTCCCTTGAGAACCACAAATAAAGTCTGTGTGAGTCTGGCATCCATCTCTGTTTTCAATTCACTTCCTCATTCAAGAACTTGTGACCCTCCATTCCATGGTCATTTATGATGGTTTATTTTACTCTCCCTCCCTGCAGGTCAGACACTTTACCTCCTGATTCACACCACACACCCCAGTCTGGCTCCAGAAATCACAGGCATGATCGTGGAGCTGGAAAACTCTGAGCTGCTTCCCATGCTGGAGTCCCCACAGACCCTTCCCACCAAGGTGGAGGATGCATCCGCTGTCTACGAAGCCCACGTGGCCCAAGCCAAAACACCTGCCCCAATAGCTTAAACATTTAATATGGCATTTAATATTGCAAACATGACAGCAAATGTGACAAGCAATGGACAATAAATAATGTATTTTAAGTGAATACATGATTGACTTCGTCTGGTCTAGATAAGGTTAAGTTGAAGTTTAGCTTATTAGCTTAAAAGGTTGAAGAGCAGTAGGAGCCAGAATAATAATGTGGACTGTGTGTGTGTGTGTTTGCTTGCCTGTGTGCATGTTTGTGTGCACGTGCGTGTGCATGGTGCCATAGCCCTTCTCTGCCAGCCCTGTTGTCCTGTATGCACTCCTCCAGTTCCTGTGTCAGATCTCTAACCTCCTCCAGCTCTAATTCTCTATTACGGCAGATCTAAATTGCCGTCCGTATCAGAGTGACATTGCCGGCTGTTCTGTCAGGCCAGCTTAGAGAACCAGGGCCTGAACATTTGCCCTGTCGCGGTGCTAGCTAGCTAGCTATAGCTCTATAGCAAGTGAAAATCCAGCTTTATAGTGACATGGGTTGTGTCCCAAATGGGCCCTGGTAATGCACTAAATAAGGACTATGGTGTCATTTGGGATACCATGCACAATGGAGTGTCTGGGAGGGCTAAAGGAGTGGTTTAGTCTAGAGTTTCATTGTGTGTCCCAGCCAGGCCTAATCTCGGTTAACCCAGAAGTAAAATATTGAGTAATTTGGTCAGCTGAGTGATTAACTTCTGTGTTCATACTGTACATGTTAGAAATTAAGAGTTCAGGCAAAAACAAAGTCTGCACCCCCACCCCCACAAAAAAACAGTGACGAAAACCTCCAAAACTGAACTAATGTTGCTCGGATCTCACGCATCCCATTTAGTCCTGGCAGATTCTTTCTGTATACAGATTAAGCCAGGCCAGACAGACAGACAGATTGAACAGTGAATGCTGTAATCTACAGGCAGAGGATGGATTAAGTTATTCTGGTCACATTTTTGGGTTGTTCTGTAGACTAGAAGAGAGTTTATGATAACACACTTCTATGATTACACACACGTGGAAATGCGCACATACACACACACACATGCAAGAATGCGTGTGCACAGACACATGCATACACGCATGCACGCACACAGACACAGACACACACACACACAAATACTAGACACAGAGAAAAGGTGGGAGGGGGAGAGAGAATTACATCACACACATCCATGATTTATGTTCTCAAATCAAATCAAATCAAATCAAATCCAGAGACACATAATGTAAGGAGTGGAGGCACTGAGCTGTAAAGCTCCCTAAAGGCCTTGATAATCACATGGTAATGGGATGGTTCAGTGGTTGGTAACACAGCCTGTCCCAGCCTCTAACCCAGGGCTTGATTTAAGCAAAGCCTGGAACTGGCTTCCTAGGGTGAAAAAAGATTATTACAACAAAGCAAAACATATTTAGATTTATCGTGGCGTTAAGTTGCCTGTTGTTTTAACCAGTCAGCCCTTTTTATTAAAATATGAATTCAAAAGTACATTCATGCTGGGCAAGAAGAATGATGTTTTGATTTAATTGAGTATCCCATTTTTTACTTAGAAACCCTACTGTTTCTGCACAAAGTCATGCTGCTGCATTGAATTATTCCAGACTGTTTGGCAAGATACACACATGCAGAAACAGATACCCAGGCTATAGAAACTCAGTTACCAAGATTGATTGAAGAAACACTCTGTGGTGTTGACAGATCTAAGGGTCTGGGGGTTTAAGCAATATGGCCAAAGCGCTGAACTGTTTATCACCTCACTATCCACATTACTTTTAGATCAGCAGTACAGTACAGTCCCAGCACAGGGCATGATAAACATGAATTATAGAGACATATGATGGATCATTAATGATGACGGATCGGTTGCTATAGCTGTTACCATAGTGACCTGATGTGGCAATGGGACTGGAGAGTGTCTCTGCCTTTCTGTTGGTCTCTCTGACTCCTTCTCTCTTTCTCTTGACCTCTCTCACTCTGTCTCACTTTCTCTCTGTTGGTTCCTCTCTCCCTTATATATCTCTCTCTGCCTGCCTGCCTATCTGTCTCTGTCCTGAACCTTACTCTCTTCCTCTCTGTAAATCTCCCCAGCTGTATATCACTCCACGCCATCCCCCTTTCCTTCTCTCTCGTCTCCTTCTCTCAATAATTTCTCTCTCTCCTTTTTCTTTTGTACCTGTCTGTCACTCCTTGCATGTGCACCCCCTACCATCTCTTAAGCTCCTTCCTATCTCTCCTGCTCCCCTCCATCCCGCTCTCTCTCCTCGCTCTCCTTTCTCCCTCTCTCTCTCTCCCTTTCTCTCTCTCTCTCTCTCTCTCTCTCTCTCTCTCTCTCTCTCTCCCCCTCCGTCTCTCTCTATGACACATAGCTCAGTGTCTCTGTGCACCTGTACCCAAGTGACCTGACCTCCATAAACGATGGAACAAGCTCTGAGAACTGAGAGAGAGAAAGAAAGAAAGAGGGATTTTACTTACATGAGCCTCTCTGGGGGTCCCCCCCCCCCCGCATCAAAAGCCATCACCATTTCAAACACTGTAACACTGCTTTATTTGAACATGTTTGACCTGCTAAAAATGGAGTCCAAGACAGAAACCCCCAAAAGCCTCAAACCTTCCTTGTCCAAACACTAAATCAACCACTGAGCAGGATCATAGAACCATAGCATCTTACAGCAGCCCCTTACATTCAGCCTTCATACCCAAGGAGAGGGTCTTCAGAGTGGGGCAACAGAAGCATGAAAGGCCCCTGGAGACTGGAGCTAGAGTTGCCTGCATGTGAATGATGTAACGTGGCCTCCAGGAAAGACTTCATCATGCATGTTACACAACTCTGCACTATTTGTCCCTACTGGGATCCTGTCTCTGGGCTTGGTGATGGGGTCCAGTGGATGTGTGGAATCATTAGCTTATGATGTCCTGTCCATGGACATCTTCAGTGGTTCTGTGCTGGTTTCTGTGAAGTGAAGATCAAAGATAAAGATACACAATGAAAAGTGTAATGGACTTTTGAATACATACTGTATACACAAACATACACACACACATACACACACACACAAATTCCTACACGCAACCTAATCATCTCTCTTTCTCAACTACAGCACACAGACACACAGCTTCCTCGCACATTTCCTCATTTATCCAAAGGCGCTCTCTTCTGTCCAATAGAATAACTGCATGACTGCAGCAAATTGAATCTGTGAGAGAACTGAACACTGTAAGATGTTCTTCTCCTCTTTTCTATTTCATGAGAGAGTAACCTGTTGATTCATCCTAATGAATATGAATGTGATCTATTATGACCATGGTCAATATGACCGTAATCTATATGACTGTGGTGGTCTGTGTCATTGTGTGTGTTCCCACAGCCCTCTCAGCTCCACAAGTTCACATGGTACCCTGCACATCAACTCTGTACTGGTACGCCATGTTATTTTTTACTCTTTATTGTTATTCGTTACTCCTCGTGTCACTATTTCTCTATTTTAAAAAATATATATATCTTTAACTCTTCATTGTTGGAAAAGGTCAGCTTTTCACTGTTAGTCTATAAGAATGGAAAAGACCCCAAAACAAACCCTGTGAACCCTGTCAGCCTGACTCTTCCCTTCCTTTCCTCTCTCCCCCTCTCTCTAGCACTGCCGTCTTCCCCTCTCTGACGTCATAGCAACTGCAGTCGAACAGAACATCGAGCAGAGCAGAACATCATACATCCCTCCATCTGTCTGGGGGCTAGCTATGGACGAAGGGGGATCGGAGAACGGAATGCGGAAGAGTAGGAGAAGGAGGAGAGGTGGGCACTAACCTCAGGCTCTACAGACCATGTCATAGAGATGCTATAATATTATTCCCTATAATCCATCTTTAAACAGACTGGCTGCTACCAGGCTCTGTATAAATTCCCCTGAGGAGAAGTAAAGTTATTCTATCAGTCACGTTTCTATGTCTGACTCAACCCACCGCTGCTGCAGAGGACCAAACATGAACATGCAACACGGCCATCTAATAGACAGACCAACTTCATGTCAGAGAGAGGGAGAGAGAGGGAGAGGGAGAGAGAGAGGATATATGGGAAGGGGAAGAAGAGGGAGAGAAAGAAACTTACAGAATATGGGTTGGACATAGAGAGGAAGAGAAAGAATGAAAAGGGAGAAGGGAGGGGAGGAATAGAGAAAGAAGGGAAGACAGACACGTGATAGGGGGTGAGAGTGAGAGAGACATTGAGAAAGAGAGACAGAGAGAGAGAGACTGAGAGAGAGAGACAGAGAGAGGTGCAGACAGAGAGAGAGAGAGAGAGAGAGAGAGACATAGAGAGGTGCAGACAGACAGAGAGAGAGAGAGAGAGAGAGAGAGAGAGAGAGAGAGAGAGACAGAGAGAGAGAGAGAGAGAGAGAGAGAGAGGTGCAGAGAGAGAAAGAGGGAGAGAGACGCTAAGTGATTAGCATTCCAAAGGGATTGGCTGCTGACTCAGGAGACTGTGCAACTTTGCTCTTTCGCAGCCACACACACACAGGCACACATGCAGGCACACACATGCATATCCTTATCCATGCACATGCACATACACTCACTCATGCATGCACAAATGCACTCACACACACACACACACACTCACACACACACACTCACTCAATCACTCACACATGCACAAATGCACTCACACACACACACACACAAAAACTCTCTCATGCATGCACAAATGCACTCACACACACACACACCGATAACCAGTGCTTTATTCAGCTGGAGGTACAGAAATGAAATACGACCTCCCACTGTGCAGATTTTAAAACATACATAAAGGTTGTGCCTGGAACTTCCATGACAGAATAAACCGCTGATAGGATCATTTGGCTTCAAAACCCCTCTTGATGCCTTCTATTTATGAATTACAATTGGTATTATATGTTACGAATTTGCATGATATGTATGATACACATTGACAACCCGTCTTTCAGGGCAGGTGGGGCAGCCTAGCTTAGTGCTTTCTGTGGTGGTGGGGCAGCCAGCGGAA